ATACCCTCAGCCGATGCTTGCTGCCCCGGCGCCATCCGCACTCGCCAACTCACGGTGGCGGAAGTCCTCTTGAAGGATCGCTCGCTTCACGTCTTCAAGCGAGAGGCGGGGCCAGTCACGATTGAGGTTGATGATGAGCGAGGACCATGACTCTGGGAGTAAGGCCAGCAACTTGGTCTTCTTTTGGAGCTCACTGTAGTTCAAATCAGCTCCCTCAAGCCGCGTCAACAAGTCGAAGAATTTCTGCACCCCTTCTTCAACCGCTTCGTCTTCTTCAATTCGTAGTGCCGCCATTTGCCGTTCCAACACCACCGCTACCGCCGCTGTTGCAGGAGCGTGTACACCCTTGAGAGCAGCCCATGCCTTTGATCCCTTCTCTGGTTCACGCTGGAATGGCTTGATGTGACGGATTTGGCTGCTCCCCAACGCTTGCCCAAGTAGGAGATAGCCTTGTGCGCTCTTCCACACCCACGGGCTCTTCTCCGGGTCGTTCTCGGGGCGCTTCTCCGTTCCTTCCATCACCTCCAGCAGGTCATAATGGTCAAAGATGTTCTCCATCTTGAAGGACCATTCAGCAAAGTTGTCACCGTTGAACTTGTCAAGCCCAAACACCCTAGGCTCATCCCTAGGTGGTCCAAGACTTGGTTGCACGGGCGCCATGGCTGAATCATGGGGTTGGCCTTGAGCTTGGGCTTCTCCACTGCCACCAGCACCTCTGCCACCCCTTTCCTCAGGTCCAGCCATTGTCGAAACTGCTTCAAGGGGCTCTGATACCACTTGTTATAGTCATAATAGGCTTGAATGTGCCTAAAACGAAAGATAGAGTGCACAGACGGATTTCTGCACAGCGGCTTCAAACGTTGATAGCGTTCTGGTCACAGCTTCAAATGACCTTATTCAACTTGGATCTGGAGCGTCTTAACGTCGCATACAATAAGCAATTTAGATTGCACGATTTCATAAAGAATTGACGACACATCGTCGGTTTGATCGAACGGTACTATGGCAGCCACTATAGTCTTAGAGCACAAGATAGGAAGAGTTACGAGTTGGAAATGACTCCCAGCTCCTACAAACCCCAAGAGCCGAGGTAAAGTGATGTGGAACAGTGCCACACTGTCCCCAACCACGAAGGGTCTCGAAAATACCCTCCACAAGGGCCTACACCGAGAGAAATGTTACACTACAAATAGTAATGCAACTATTCTCACTATCTTAAAGTTTACTCTTTCTTGGAGAGCTTCGAAATCACTTGATTCTTGAAACCAAGGCTCTGGTTCTTCAAGATAAATTCTTCCTTGAGTTCTTGGAAGTCTGCTACGCACACCTGCGACACGCCGAACGTTCCACACACGACAAAATAGAAAACCGCACACAACATGCAAACGACGACGTGACACGCGACTAGCGATAACTCGCTTTTGACTCGACACACACATACAAAATCATGCCTCATCATTCCCACACTATTGTAAGCATGAAACATATATTATCTCATGCCTTCATACCATTCCATGCACACACGCATGCACGCAGACGGACAACACCCCGAATGCAAACCGTAGGGTTGCACCAACAAGAGGTCCACTGGTGATCCCCGATTGATCCTAGGGAAGGGTTACAGGCTCGTTGTCCTGGGGGGTTATGGGCGCACTGACCCGCTATTTAACAAGCCCTTTTATCCCAATGGTCTAGTGGTTGGGATTCTGACATGGTATCAGAGCGAAGGTCTCGGGTTCGAATCCCAGTGTGTGCACTTCGGGCATCCCAGTGCGGGGGGGTGTCAGAGGTCCACTGGTGATCCCCGATTGATCCTACGGAAGGGTTACAGGCTCGTTGTCCTGGGGGGTTATGGGTGCACTGACCCGCTACTTAACAAGCCCTTTTATCCCAATGGTCTAGTGGTTGGGATTCTGACACTATACTCCTGACACAAAGCAATCATGGTCTTGTTGTCGACGTACAGAACAGAAGGAGAACGAGGCCACTCACCCAAGTCAGCCAGCAAGTAGGTCAGCCAGCGTAACTCCGGTGCAGCCATAGCCCCAACGTAGATCTCGGCCTCATAGCTGGAGCTAAGCACAGAAGACAGGGTGGACCTCCACGAGACAGAACCAGAGCCGAGACTAAAAGGGTAACCCTGTGACGACCGCAGAGTCGCCTGGTCGTCAGCCCAGGAAGCGTCCGAGTGTCCTGTGAGCACAACCGTGCCCCGTCCTCCAAGCTCAAGCCCATGCCTGATGTACTGCACAAGTAGTACAGTACCCTCGTAGCAGCCCGGTAGTGCTCATGCCGGTGTCTCCCTGGCACAACGTAGCGCGCCATGATGCTGAGAGGGTACGCGAGGTTAGGCATAGTGCACGTCATCACGTACATGAGCCAGCCCAGAAGCTCTGGATACAGACCACTCGGCTCTACGGACTCGTCCGAAGGTGGAGCTGAGAGCGAGTGGTTCGTAGGCAGAGGAGTGGATTGTGGTGAGGAGACTGAAAGCGGAATTGCTAAAGGACCTGCTGCACCATGTGTGCCTGAGTTTGAGTGATGGTCTGCGTTGCTCTGTCCCGGGTGATCTCCAAGCAACATCTTTACCTCCTTACTACGAATCTGCCCCCGAAGTACAATTGCTCCTTCCGACTCCTACTGCAGCGGTGTTGAGGATGGAGTCAGCAAGGTGGGGCACTCCTCACCACCAGCAACTCGCCCCGAAGCTACTGGCGAGGCTTGTTTCCCGGCTGCCTGGGCTTGTTAGGGCAGTTGAGTGCTTTGTGACCGCGCTTTCCACACTTAAAGCAATTTCCAGCAAAGCTCTTTTTCCTTTCCCGGTTTTTGTCAATTGCATCCAGCTCCATCGGTATTGGTCCAGCGCCACCACGCTGCTCCCCACCGATAGGCTGGAACATGTTCGGGTTGAACCTTAACCCACGGTTGAAACGGTTGCGACGGCTACTGAAGTGAATCTTGTCGTAGCGTTCAGCGACACGAGCCATGTCTTCAAGCGTCTTACAGCCCTGCACCTCCACTTCCACCCTAACATCATCCTTCAAGCCGCGCTTAAACTTGTCGAGCACCTCAGCAGTTGAAATATCTGAAATTCCGGTGGAGATGTCTTGAATATTAGTGATGTATGATGCTAAAGAAGTACGCTGCCGCAAATTCGCAAGTCGATCCCCATCGCATTGATCCTGAGCTGCCAAGTTTGGATGGCGGGTCGCACTGATTGCCACCATGCGATTGTAGAGCCTCGAAGTAGCGTTCCTGCGAACGGCGCCCACTCCTCTCCTGCCACGTGACTCAAGCGCAGATATTCCTCCACCAAGAAGAGTCATCAACGCACCACGGGTTGTCCTTTGCCAGGGACAAACGTGTCTGGCAGCGATGCTATAACACGAGAAGTAGATTCCAATGCGCTACCTGGAGTTGTAGCAACTCTCTGCTGTGCAGCTACGCTCTGCAAAGCAGCCTGCACCTCCTTAGCTACGAGCTCACGCACCGCGGCATCACACTCTAAATCGCTCATGGTGCAAAATCACCCGGAAGCGATTCACGAGGAAAAACGAGGCTCTGAGACCAAGTGGAACAAGCTCACGGCACTTCGGCTTGTTCTAGTGTTTCTGGCTGAGATTTTTTCCCAAGGGAATTTTCCTTAGAAGCAAAGAGAGAACCATCAGCAAGAAGAAAGAACCACTACTCTAATTCCTACGGATGCATTTTATATACGCACAGTAATTACATTTTAGAAATGCGGCTCGGAATGTCGATTCGGGTGGCCAGCTCTGACATCGAGTCGCATCACCCTTATTCACTTTTGTAACTCACTGCTGGCATACACTGTTAGAATACTCCTATTCTTGTATCATGCTCAGACTATTAAGTCTTGGGTAGTTATAAGCACTCAAGCTTAGCTTGGGTGTAGAATCAGGGTTTGCCCTAATTGAGGGGTTGGGCCAACCCAACCTTGGTCCAACATTGTGACCCCCCCAATAATTGAGCTCCCCATTATTGGAGGTTCAGTAGTTGTGGTCCTCTACCACAATTATTGGCCCCTCCAATAATTGGTGACCCCAACTTATTGGTGAGGGCCAATAATTGGGGCAAGGCCTTCATCCAACTCATCCCTCCTTCTCCAACTATGTAAACCTCTTCTTTCCTTAATGAAACCATCATTTAGTTTTCTAACATGGTATTCATAGCTTCTAAGGCTCACGCCATACGATCCTCAGCTCAGAACCACTACAAATTTCACGGCCCTATATCCCGCATTTCCGTCCAAACCATTACCCAACTCCCGGCGATTGCCTCACCGGTCACTACGGCTCCTACGCCTAATTCCGCACGCCGTCGTCGCCGTTCGCGACGATCCCGCGCTGCTGCCACGACTCCCGACGGCAGCCCCCCTCCGCAATTTTGCGCGCTCTCACTTGCGACAACCACCGTCGTCATTCCTCGTCGTCAATCGTCACACGCGCTGCCGCAACCGTCGTCCGCGCAGCTGCGAAAATCGCCCGCACAGCCGCGATCGTCATCCGCGCGGCCCCGTCCGTCCCGTGCGGACTCGGGACCCTCGTCCACGCAGCCGCGACCATTCCGCGCGCTGCCCTGCCCGTCGCCCGCGCTGCCCTGTCCGTCGCCCGCGCTGCTCCGTCCGTCGCCCGCGCTGCCCCGTTCGTTGCGCGCGACGCCCCGTCCGTCGCCAGCGCGGCCGCGACCGTCGCCCGCGCGGCCGCGACCGTCGCCCGCGCGGCCGCGACCGTCGCCCGCGCGGCCTTACACGTTACCGGTGCTGCCCGCGCCTCTACGTAAGACTCCCCCCCACCCTCTCTCTCCCCTCCCCCTGTGGCTTCTCTCTCCCCTCCGCCCTCACACCTCGCATCATACCCTCACCCTTTCCTCCCCCTGTGGCTGCCCTCTCCCACCCACTCCATCTTCCCGCCTCCTAACTCTTACACCTATCTTCATCCCTTCCTCCCCCTATGGCTATCTCCCCCCCCCAACTTGTCGTCATGGCCGCCGATTCCTCTATTGACATTAGCTCCATCGACCGACTTGAACTCATTGCTGATACCACTCCGGTCAACTGGACTTCCTTCTCCGAAAGCATGCATGTCCTCCTTGGCTCCACTACCCTTCACAATTACAATCTTCTTGACCTCGTGCTTGACACCCCATTTGGAGCTGCCCCCTCCCCTCCCGTAGCACCCTCATCCCCCCCTCCTCCCGACCCACCCGCTCCCCCAGGCCCCCCTCCCTCAGCTCCACCCACACCCTCCCACCACGATGACCCCGACCGATGGGCACGCACCCTTCGCGACTACACTCGCGACCACGCCACCTACGTCCTCGCCGATGCGGCTCACAAGGACGCCCTTGCTGCCTACACCACCGCCACAGCCGCATCAGCCGAGTACGCGCAGAAACTTGCTAAATATCGGGAGGAAGATCTGAAATACAAAGCCGATTCCTCCGCCTGGCGCCTTGCCGACCTCAAAGCACTCAACATCATACTTGCATGCATTCCCACCTCCCTCAAGGGAGAGATCCGCCCTACCACCTCTGCAGCCCTTTGGAAAGACCTCACCACTCGCTTCGACCGACAAGATCTCAACTCTCTTCTCGCACTATACCGCGACTTCCAGGCAATTTCTCTTGAAGCCTCTCCTAATGCTGCCACATTCACCCGCCGCCTCACTGACGCCGCTCGCCGCCTAACTGACCGCGGCATCACTATCACCGATTCCCTCCTCATGGCTCGCATTCTTGACGGCCTCCCCACTGCCTACACCACTCACAAAATCGCATTCACTACCGCTCGCACTGGCACTCCCTCCTCCTCCGATGTTATCTCCTGGCTACTTGACGCCGAAGCCGACCTCTTCCACTCCTCCCCTCTCACTGCTGCTCTTGTGCGTGGAGGTGGAAGTGGCCGTGACACTCCTAGCAGCGGCTTTGGCGGAGGACGCGGTGCGGGACGAGGTGGTCGTGGTGGAGGCGGTCGCTCCACTCCTCGTCAAGGTGGTGGCCGTGGTGCTGGTCGCGGTGGTGCCTCCGGACTCGGCACCCTCTCCCCATGCCAATATCTCATTTGCTACGGCTCGCTCAAAGGCCAGTGCTGTCTTCAAACGACTCACACCACAGCCACCTGCTTCAAGGCACTCACCGATGAATGGTTTGAACGTGGCAACACTGGTACCCCCCCCCCCGCTGGCACCTCCTTCATCCCCTTCCCACCCCTCATGATGTACGCACCTCCCCGGTCTACCAGCCCCCCTCTATCTCTCAGGTCCTTCCCACCTCCCCAATCCCTCCTCCACACACCCTCCCCACCCCGTACCCCCCTTTTCTCCCTCCTCTCGTATCCCCTGGTTTTCCCCACCCCCCTCCCTCCACCCCTTGGTACCCTCTCCAATACCCCCCCTACCCCGTCTACCCCCCGGCCCCTCCTCCTCCCACTCCACCCACTGACCCACCCAAGGTGACCGAACCTACCCCTCCCTCTCCTTCCCATCCCCCAGGCTTTACCCCATTTCCCTCTGCTGCCTTCGTAGGTCAAAGCCTTCAGTCTCCAATGCCTAGTGATCCTTCCATGTATGCTGATGCTATTAATACAAAGTCATTCCAGTACTCCGCGCCATCACCACCTCTCGAATTCGTCTTAGACAATGGTGCCTCCCACACCGTTCTTCGTGACGCTGGAACCCTTACTCCCCTCTCCACTCCCTCCACTATTCATGGTGCCGACTCCACATTTGCCGTCCAAAGCCATCACTCATCCACTCTCCCTTGTCCCCTATTTCCATCTGGTACAGTGTCCGGCCTCCACATCCCCTCCCTCTGTCACAACCTCATCTCCCAAGGTGCCCTTCAACATGCAGGTATCACCACCATCTTCCCTGGTTATGCATCTCACTGTGACCTATTTCACTCCACCTCCGGCCGCTTCATCTCCCGGATTCCTATGTGTCCCATCACCCGCATGTACACCTTCCGCACTCCCCGTTCCCCTGCACCCCAGGTATTCGCCACGACCTCCCCCGTCCCTCCCACCCTCCCCTCCTCCACTCCTGTCCCCTCTCCTTGCTCCTGTTGAGAACTCACCCACCCTGCCATTCTCTTACACCATCGCCTTGGCCACCCCAACTTCGCCACCCTTCGCAAAACCGTGTCCTCATCCCTCCTCAAAGGTCTCCCTTCTACCCTTCCCCCCCTCCCCCCTTCCCCTGCCCCACCGTGCACGGTCTGTGCCAAAAGCAAACTCAAGCAACACCCTCACCCCAGCCATCCCACTTTCTCCCCCGCCCCTCTCGACCTAGTCCATATGGACCTCTGGGGTCCTAACTCTTCCCCCACCCGTCAGGGCCATAGATACCTTCTCATCCTTGTGGATGATTACAGCCGATACTCCTCGGTATCACTCCTACGCACTAAAGGTGAAGCCCCTGCTGCCATCATTCCATGGGCCACTCAAGCTGCCAACCATTTTAAACGACCCATCCGTCGTCTCCACTCAGACGGCGGTGGTGAGTTCCTCAATCACACACTGTCATCCTATTGCACCGCCCATGGCATTCGCCACACCTACACCCTTCCCCACTCCCCTCAGCAAAACGGTGTAGCCGAAAGCCGTATCCGCGAAATCACCAAGACAGCCCGGTGCCTCTTAGTTCACGCTTCCTGCCCACCCTCTCTTTGGGGATATGCACTTCTCCATGCCGCACTTCTCACTAACCTCTACCCCCACCCAAGTCGTCCCTCCGCCACCCCCACTGAGCTATTGACCTCTACCAAACCCGACGTCTCCCCTCTTCGTATCTGGGGCTCTAAAGCCCATGTCCTCATTCACCCCACAGACCGCCCTCGCGCAACTGGCAAACTGACTGATAAAACCCTCTCTTGCATCTACCTTGGTCACAACCCTTCCTCCCCGGATTCTCTTCCTCCACCCCCCCTCAGGACGCCTCATTCGCAGCCGTGATGTCATTTTCGATGAATCCACACCGTACTACTCTTCTCCACCCCCCACTGACCCCCTCACCCTCCCCTCCCGCCCCCTCCGATGGACTGACACAACCTCCCTTCCCCTTCTCCCCCCTCCCCCGGTCATCCCCCCAACCCCAGCTCCCCCCACTCCCTCTGATCCCCTTACATCAGACTCCTCCGGTGACATCCTTGATCCGGCCATTCCCCCCTCCCCCTGCCACTCCATCGCCCATCCCCTTCCTCCCTCCCCCCACTCATCCCCCGCCCCCTCCTCCCTTCCCCCTCTCCCCCCCCCCTCCTTCCCGCCCCGTCCCATCCATTATTCTTCAACCACGCCCCCACACCCGCTCCCTTGACCCCATCCTTGGTCCCCCTCTCCTTCCACACACACTGTCCTGCACTCCCTCCCCCCCTATCCTCAGTCTCCCCTCCCTCCCCACCAGTGCACTCCCCCGTCGTCGCCACCTTCATTCAACCCCGGCTACTCCTCGCAACCGAGTCACTGACAAACAGCGTGCCAGGAATACAGAGCAGCAGCGCAGCAGCGTGGCCGAGCAGCAGCACAGCAGAGCAGCCGAGCAGCAGAGCAGCCGAGCAGCCGAGCAGCAGAGCAGCCGAGCAGCCGAGCAACAGAGCAGCAGAGCAGCCGAGCAGCTGAGTAGCAGAGCAGCAGTCCAGCGACCCGCCCTCACCTTCCCTCTGCGCAACCACCTCCCATCCTCCTCCCTTCCTCCCCCTCTCTCTCCTCTCCTCTTTGAGGACACGCATGACGAACTTCTCTACCTCCACCTCTGCCAACCCTCTCGCGCCCACATTGTCCGCACCATGACCGGCATCCCCGTTCTTCTCTTTTCAGGGGCGCCTACCATTTTCGAACCCACCACCTACGAAGAGGCTATGGCGTGCCTCGATGCCCCTCTTTGGGTCGAGGCTATGGCCGAGGAAATATCCTCCTTTGTCCGCAATGGCACCTTCATCGATGTTCCCCGACCCACCTCTTCCAATGTCGTCAAAGGCAAATGGGTCTTTCGGGTGAAACTGCTTCCTGGCGAGTCTCCCGTCTACAAGGCTCGCTACTGCGCCAAAGGATTCACACAGACCCACGGCTCCGACTTCTTTGAGACCTATTCTCCCACAGCCGCCCCCCCGGTCGTCCGAGTGTTTCTCGACTTTGTCGGCCGCTGTGGAATGCTTTTACACTCCATGGACGTTACCACTACGTTTCTACAAGGGGACTTGCACGAAACAATTTTCATGGAACGACCTCAGGGATTTTCGGCGCCATTTGATCCCTCGACGGTCTGGAAGCTTTGCCGCCCCGTATACGGTCTCAAACACGCGAGTGGCATGCCAAACTCTCCTCCACACTCAAGGACCTTGGCTTCCGCCCCTCCAAAGTCGCCCCATGCCTCTTCATCCGCACCTCGCCCTCCGCCTTCTACATCCTCGTCTACGTGGATGACATGCTCCTTGCCACTGCATCCCACACCGATCTTAAGGACGTCAAAGATCAACTTCAGCAGCGGCTTGCGTGCACAGATCTGGGCGAGGTTCGCAATTACCTCGGGATGGAAATCACTCGGGACTTGGAGGCACGCACCATCTCTCTTTCTCAACGCTTCTACATCGAGAAGGTGCTGAAACGCTTTGACATGGCCACCGCCAAATCTATCTCCACGCCTCTTTGCGTTGGTCATCAACTCACCCCACCCACTACACCTTCCTCCTCCCCTGACCCCTACGCTGAACTTGTTGGGGCGCTGATGTATGCCATGATCTGCACCCGTCCCGACCTTGCCTACCCAATCAGCGTTCTTGCACGATTCGTTGGCACTGGCAAACACACCACTGAACACTGGCGTGCTGCCAAGCGCGTCCTCCGGTACCTTCGCGGCACCAAGGATCACGTCCTTACCCTTGGCGGCCCCACCCCCCCCACTCTCACCGGGTACAGCGACTCCTCCTGGGCTGACTCCCAGCCCGACCGCCGCAGCAATCAAGGCTATGGCTTCTCCCTTGGCAGCGGCCTCATTAGCTGGCGCTCCACTCGCTCCTCATCCATCTCTCTCTCCTCCTGTGAAGCATAAATTTATGCTGTCACCATGGCTGCCCAAGAGGCGCGTTGGTTGTCCTACCTTCTCGCTGATCTTGGCGCCCCCCAGACATGTCCTGCCATTTGGTGTGACAACGCCAGCACCATCCACCTCACCAAGGAAGCAGTCTTTCACGGACGCTCCAAGCACATTGAGCTCCGTCACTACTTCATTCGTGACCTCGTCAATGACGGTCACATCACGATCCGCAAGATTGACTCTTCTGTGAACCCTGCGGACATTTTCACCAAAGCACTCTCTCGCTCTGTGCACTCCTCGCTCCTCCCCCTGCTCGGACTCGCTCCCCCCTCCTCCAGTGGCTGATTCACGGGATGCGACTTCTTCCCAAGACTTTCTTGTCTTTTGCATGATAAGGGGTTGTGTTAGAATACTCCTATTCTTGTATCATGCTCAGACTATTAAGTCTTGGGTAGTTATAAGCACTCAAGGTTAGCTTGGGTGTAGAATCAGGGTTTGCCCTAATTGAGGGGTTGGGCCAACCCAACCTTGGTCCAACATTGTGACCCCCCCAATAATTGAGCTCCCCATTATTGGAGGTTCAGTAGTTGTGGTCCTCTACCACAATTATTGGCCCCTCCAATAATTGGTGACCCCAACTTATTGGTGAGGGCCAATAATTGGGGCAAGGCCCTCATCCAACTCATCCCTCCTTCTCCAACTATGTAAACCTCTTCTTTCCTTAATGAAACCATTATTCAGTTTTCTAACATACACGTGTTTAATTTCTAACCCTTCGATACTGTACCCTCGCCACCTGACCCATGCGGAAGTCTTCCCAAGTCATTCAAGGCACGAAACCTCAGTTTCGCCCTCTTCACATGGGTCCCCCATGCCCTGCTCACTTCCACCACTTGGCTGCCCACGTTGGCAACTGCACGCTGCTGCTGCATGCTGTTGCCTCCCGTGCGCTTCACGCTGGCTCCCGTGCAGGTGCCCCTTGTTACACTGAGTGGGTTCGTTGGCCTGATCTCGACGAGCTCCATCTGTACAAAAGTGAGTTTTGGATTGAGGTTGGTATTCCCGGAGTAGTAGATGCCATGGACAGCACCTACCTCCATTGCCTTGGACAAGGGCCTCATCGTGAAGATTTAAGGAAGAGAAAATGTTTTTACTCAATCATTTTGCAACTTATTCTCGACTCCTATGGCATCATTTGGGATTTCTACGTGGGATGGCCCAAGTCAGTTAACGACGCGCGGGTTTGTCAGAATATTATGTTTCTCTAGTCTGCAGTGGGGTACTCTATAGTGAGTACAACCCTTTTAGGGTTTGCTATATGTATCCCAATGTTTGCTAGTGAACCTCACTTCCGCTCACATCTTCTCTCATTCCTGTTGTTCCTTTCACATGGTATAGAGCTAGTTTCGATCCTTCCTCGGGCCCACCACTTAAACTTTTTTTTCCTGCCCTGCTGCCCGAAGCGCCCTTCGCGGCCCCTTCGCGGCCCCTTAACGGCCCCTTCGTGGCCCCTTAGCGACCCCGTCGCGGCCCTTCGTGGCCCCTTCGCGACCCTGTCGCGGCCCTTTGTGGCCCCTTCGCGACCCTGTCGCGGCCCTTCGTGGCCCCCCCATTCGCGACCCCGTCGCGGCCCTGTCGCGGCCCCGTCACGACCTAGCCCCGGCCCTGCCCCGTCGCCCGGCCCTGCCCCGTCGCCCGACCCTGCTCCGTCACCCTGTCGCGGCCCCCCGTCGCGGCCCCCCGTCGCGGCCCTCAGTCGCGGCCCCCCGTCGCGGCCCCCCGTCGCGGCCCTCCGTCGCGGCCCCCCGTCGCGGCCCCACGTCGCGGCCCCCCGTCGCGGCCCCCGTCGCGGCCTCCCGTCGCGGCCCCCGTCGCGGCCTCCCGTCGCGGCTCCCGTCGCGGCACCTGCCCCGTCGCCCTGTCGCGGCCCCCCGTCGCGGCCCCCGTCGCGGCCCCACGTCGCGGCCCCCCGTCGCGGCCCCCGTCGCGGCCCCCCCCCCGTCGCGGCCCCCCGTCGCGGCCCCCGTCGCGGCCTCCCGTCGCGGCCCCCGTCGCGGCCTCCCGTCGCGGCACCTGCCCCGTCGCCCTGTCGCGGCCCCCCGTCGCGGCCCCCGTCACGGCACCCCGTCGCGGCCTCCCGTCGCGGCCCCCGTCGCGACCCCTGCTCCGGCCCTGCCCCTGCCCTGCCGTGGCCCTGCACGGCCCTGCCCCGGCCCTGCCCCTGCCCTGCCCCGGCCCTGCCCCGACCTTGCCCCGGCCCTACCCCGGCCATGTTGCGGCGCACAAGGGGCCCGCGCCCCGCCCCCCCCGCCCCTCTTTTCCCGTCGCCCGTCGCGGCTCCCTGGGGGGCCGCGCGCGGCCCCCCTCAGGTCGCCTCGACATGCGACGGGAGGGGCGATCTGGGGGGGGGGGCCGGGCGTCGCCCCTTCTGCCGCCTGTGTTGGCGCCCTGGGAGGCCACGCGTCCCCCCCCCCCCGTACCCTCCCTACCCGCCATCGCGCCCTGCCCTGTGTTAGGGTTTGGGGGTGGCGAGTAGGGGGTGGCGGGTGTGTGGCATCCCCTGCTCCTCCTCCTCCTCCGTCTCCCACTGCTGCAGCTGCCGCTGAGGGGGGTGGGTGTGTGGGAGCCGATGGAGTGGTGCTAGGGGGTGGGTGTGTGGGAGCTGACGGAGTGGTGCTAGGGTGTGGCGTGTGAGCAGAGTTAGAGGTGCAGCAGGGGGTGTGTGAAAGGGGGGTGAGACAGTTAGAGGGAGGATGGGCGGAGGCAACCGTTGTGTCGCCAGCAGCGCCAGTAGTCCGGAGGCTACAATCTCCGGTAGCCCAGTCGTAGTCAGCTGCGCCAGTCGCCCGTGGGTCCGTTGCTCCTGCCGCTCAGAGTTAGCCGCCGAGCCAGTTACTCCTGTAGTCCGGGGCCTTTGCTCCGGTAGCCACTGTGCGCGCCGACTCCTGTTGCCCGTGTGTCTGCAGCTTCAGCCGTCGCCTCCTATCTCCTCTCCTCTTACAGTCCCGCCTCCTCCTCACTTGCCCTCTGTGATAGCCTCTAGCTTTGCTTATATCTGTGACCTTTAAACTGTTGCTTGTGCTCAGAATGTGTGGTGACATTGTGATCCACCCTGAGCTTATTTTGCTTTTCTTCTTGTGCTGATTACACCCCACTTCGACTATGGGTGTGTGTCAGAATATTATGTTTCTCTAGTCTGCAGTGGGGTACTCTATAGTGAGTACAACCCTTTTAGGGTTTGCTATATGTATCCCAATGTTTGCTAGTGAACCTCACTTCCGCTCACATCTTCTCTCATTCCTGTTGTTCCTTTCACAGGGTTTTATAAAACAGCCCAGCAAGGGCTAAGATTGAAGAGGGAGGCATCTACGACTACGTCATCGTTGGAGACGCTGCATACGGGCTACGGAACTACATCTGCACGCCGTACCGGGCGTTGCCTAACCGCCCTCTCCCAACTGAGCAGCGGGTGTGGAACCTACAGCAGTCTTGTTCGCGAATGATCTTCGTGTCAGAATGTTATATTGCTTACAATTGTGTAGGCTATAGTGGGGTAGCCCATAAGGGGTACAACCCAATTAGGGTTAGTACTTGTACCCAACTGATTCATAGTTCATTCATTCTCGTTCAGTCTTCTGACATCATTTCAGAGCAGGTCCTTCGCTAGGACCGTTTTTTTTTAGGGCCCACCACAAAGCTGCCCCACGAACTGCCCCTGGCAGCTAGTCGCGCTGCCCCTAGCAGCCCACGACCAGCCCGCCCCTCTCGTCATGGCCCTCAAGCCGCCCCCCTGCAGCCAGCGCGTCGCCCGCTAGAGACCCACCCGCCGCCCCTACAGCTAGCGCGCCGCCCGCCAGCGGCCCGCCAGCCGCCTCTGCAGCCCGCGAGCCGCCCCTACCGCCCTTGCGCGGCCCGCGATCGGCCCGCCTGCTGCCTCTGCCGCCCGCGCGCCGCTCGCTACAGGCCCGCCAGCCGCACCCCCGCAGCCCGCGCGCCGCCCGCTATCGGCCCGCCCGCCGCCCGCGTACCGCCTACTAACGGCCCGCCAGCCGCCCCAGCCGCCCGCGCGCTGCTTGCTATCGGCCCGCCCGCCGCCCCCGCTGCCCGCGCGCTGCCTGCTAACGGCCCGCCAGCCGCCTCTGTCGCCCACGCGCCGCCCGCTATCGGCCCGCCCACCGCCCCTGCAGCCCGCGCGCCGCCCGCTAGCCGCCCGCCAGCTGCCCTTGCCGCTTGCGCGCCGCTCTCTAACGGCCCGCCAGCTGCCCCTGCTGCCCGCGCGCCGCCTTCTAGTGGCTCGCCAGCCGCCTCTGCCGACCGCGAGCCGCCCGCTCTCGGCCCGCCAACTGCCCCTGCTGCCCGCGCGCCGCCCACTTAAGGCCTGCTTGCCGCCCCCTGCAGCCCGCACGTCGCCTCTTGCTTCCAGTGCGCCGCCCCTTGCAGCCTGCGCACTGCCTTCATGCAGCCCGCACGCTCCCCCCCACTGCGCTGGCCGGCTTCTGCCCGCCCTGCGTGCTGTGCCGCTATGGCGTCTCTTCGCGTTCTTGCGTTCGATCATGAGGGCCGCCCGATCCAGTTTGACACATGGCTCGACGACCTGCATCTGTACCTCTTGAGCGACTCTAGGGACAGCGTTTCGTTGTTTGACCACACGTCTAGTGCTGCTCCCGCTCCTCCCACCACAGCTGACAGTGCGACTTGCTCACAGTGGCTTACTTGTGACACTGCTGCTTCCATTCGCAACCACCTGCCGTTAGCCGAATGCGCTCACTTCGGACAGCATAGGACGGGACAGACACTGTACGACTCTGTAGTCGCCCGTTACTCCTCACCTGCCACTGCTGCTCTAGGCCGTCTTCTGCTGCCCTACCTGTTTCCCGAGCTGTCCGCGTTTGCCACGGTAGAGGATCTGGTTTCCCACCTTCGCAATAGCGATGCTCGCTACCGCGCTGCCCTCTCGGCAGATTCCCTTGCCAAGAACCCACCCCCGATGTACATCACTCTTTACTTCATAGTCACCCACCTCCCTGACTCTCTTCGCGCTGTCAGGGACCACTTTCTCGCACTTGACCCCACAGCCCTCACTGTTCACCTACTCGAGCAGCACCTCCTTGCAGCTGAGACTAGTGTAGTCGCTGTAGGTGCTGCTCATGGTACTCCGCGCACGCCCTTCTTTGAGGGGTGCTGCCCCTCCCCCCTTGCTCCCTCCTACGCCTCTGCTGCTGCTGCTGACGTCCCTGGTGCTGAGGACGTCGGGGCTGCTTCTGCTAGTGCGAAGCGCCGCAGCAGCAAGGGCAAGGGTAGCAGGGGTGGTGGCGGTGGCAGCGGGGGTGGTGGTGGGGGCAGCAGTGGAGGTGGTGGAGGCAGTGGAGGTGGTGGCAGCGGTGGGAGTGGTGGCGGGAGTGGGGGCTTTGGTGGCGGCGATGGAGGCAGCGGTGGGAGTGGCGGAAGTGGCAGCGGTGGGAGTGGTGGTGGTCGGAGTGGAGCTCAGCGTGGAGGTTTTGGAGGAGGCCAGAGGCAGCAGCAGCAGCGTCGGAGCGAGACCCTGTTGCCCCAGCAGCTTCGTGAGTGGTTTGCTCAGCGTGGGGCGTCTGGGGGTAGTGTGAGCTGCCCATATGTCATTCGCACGGGTGACCATGCTGGTCAGACATGCGGGAAGCCTCACACTCAGCACTGCTGCTTCTCCCGCCTTGACGACGCTTGGCGCGCTGAGTTTGGTGACGAGGCCGAGGGCCCCCGCTCGGCAGAGCTGCTTAGGTCTGGAGTTGCTATCTTTGACCTAGACTATGATGCTATCCTTGCCGCTATGTATGCTTTGTCTGTTAGTGCTGAGGGTGACTGTTACCTGTGTGTGCCGCCTGACCCAGGTATAGAGGCTGCTTCTCTAGGTGCTAGTGAGTCTGTTCTCCCTGGTACTGCGCCTGCTGAGGCTTTGCACACGTTCACACTTGACTCAGGTGCCTCACGCTGTTTCTTTCGCGACAGCACCACCCTCACTCCTCTCTCTGCACCTGTACCGGCCAGGCTGGCTGACCCCTCCGGGGGCCCAGTCCTCGCCCGTTCCTCCACTGTGCTCCCGTGTCCGGCGGTTCTGTCCGGCTCACTGTCAGGCCTTCACCTCCCCTCGTTCTCTACGAACTTGGTGAGTACCGCTGCCCTCCAAGATGCAATGGTCACAACCACCACTCCCGGGGGTCAGCGTGTGTCGATCTGCACGTGTACATGGACGGGCCGTCACCTGACCACGTTCACTCGTCGGCTAGGGTCGAGTCTGTACACACTGGCTACCGAGCCTCCTCAGGTAGCTGCGTCTGCTCAGGTAGCACCCCCTTGCTCGTGTCGCCTCCTGTCGCACCAGACTCTTCTGTGGCACCACCGCCTAGGTCACCCCTCCCTGCCACGCCTTCGTGGCATGCACTCCCGTCTCCTTGTCTCTGGTCTTCCCAGGTCTCTGCCTCCCCTCCCGCCCTCGCCTGCCTCGCCCTGCCTTCCTTGGGTAGAGGGGCGGCAGCGCACCGCTCCTCACTCCTCCTCATTTCCCCCGATGACTGCTCCCCTGCAGACTCTCCACATGGACGTGTGGGGCCCAGCCCGCGTCAGTGGACAAGGTCGCGAGCGTTAATTTCTGCTGGTTGTTGACGACTATACGCGGTACACCACGGTCTTCCCCTTGCGCAGCAAGGGTCAGGTCGTTGATGTCTTGATCCCTTGGATCTGCGCAGTCCGTCTCCAGCTCCGCGAGCGGTTCCGTACAGACCTTCCTTTCCTGCGTCATCATTCTGACAGAGGTGGTGAGTTCTCCTCCATGATCCATGCGGCTGCTCCCCATTTTCTGTGGCCGTTTGCGGTCTGGTACGCTGCGCATCAGCTCAACCTCTGGTCCCGTGTCTCCTTGCCGGAGACCTCGCCTATACTGCGTTGGACGGGGAAGGTTGGCGATGCGTCGGTGTTCCGGGTCTGGGGTTCTCGTGCCTTTGTTCACGATACGTCCGCGGACAAGCTCTCCGCCCGAGCTATTACCTGCGTCTTCCTTGGCTTTTCCCCTAACGCGCCTGGCTGGCAGTTTTACCACCCCACCTCACGCCGTGTCTTCCCCTCTCAGGACGTTACTTTTGACGAGTCGGTTCCATTTTACCGTCTCTTCCCCTACCGCTGTGCTCCTCCCCCACCCCCGCCGCTCTTCCTTGCTCCAGGTCCCCCTCCGGTAGACCCCCTCCCCCCCCAGGGTCCTGCTCCCTCAGGTGTGTCTCAGGTAGACCCTCTCTTTGGTACTGCGCCTGTTGAGGTAGCTATCGGCTTAGGTGCTGCTCCAGGTGCTGCGTCTGGGGGTGCTGCGTCTGAGGGTGCGGAGCCTGGGGGTGCGGAGCTTGGGGGTGCGGAGCCTGGGGGTGCGGAGTCTGAGGGTGCCGGGTCTGGGGGTGCGGAGCCTTGGGGTGCGGAGCCTGGGGGTGCTGAGCCTGCGGGAGTGGAGCCTGGGGGTACTACGTCTGGGGGTGCTGAGTCGAGGGGTACTGCTTCTTCTGGAGGTCCGGCGGGTGCTCCGCCGCGACTGTCTCCCCGGCTGGAGCCTCTCTCCCCGCAGCAGCTGCGCGAGTGGTTTGCTCAGCGCACCCGCCTTCGGAGTGGAGCTACCGGCGCTGGAGACTCTGCCGCTGGAGACACTGGAGCTGGAGGTGCTGGAGTTACTGCTGGAGCTGGTGGTACCGGAGGTGCTGCAGGTGCTGGTCCTGGAGGTTCTCGTACCGGGGGTACTGGAGCTGCCGGGACTGGTGGTGTTGGGGGAGCTGGAGCTGGAGACCCTACGAAGCCTGGAGCTGCTGGGGCTGGAGGAGCTAGAGCTGTTGGCGCTGGAGCTGGAGGCACTGGCGCTGGAGGCGCTGGAGCTGGAGGAGCTGGAGCTGTTGACCCCGGAGCTGGAGGTGCTGGAGGCACTGTGCGGCCGCGACCGTACTTCATTCCCCTGCTTCAGCAGGTTCTTGGTGTCCCGTCTTCTGCTGGCCTTACTCCTCCCTTACGCTGTCCACCGCCTGACCAGTCGCAGCCGCTGTTACAGCCAGCCTCCCCACTGCCTGCTCCTTCTCCTTACACTGAGCAGTCCGGCGGTCTTACAGAGCGACGTGAGCCTGCGTCTCGTCCTGCCTCCCCTGTTCGCTCTGCGATAATTCCTTGATCGAGATTTGCAGCAGCGTGACCAGCTTCGTCTTGCGTACGTGACCACTAGGGCCAACACTGCTGATATATTCACCAAGGCACTTCCGCCTGGTGATCATCAGCGCTTCTCTACTGTTTTAGGCCTTGTGCCTACTTTGCCTCACTGCGTAACTTTGCTTGTACTGTGATCTATAAATATACCTGCATGCTTACACTTGCTAGGGTATGATCATTGTATTGTTTGTTCTCTTTTATACAACTCTTCATGTGAACTGGCCTTGTGGCCCTTTGCTTGTGCTCAGACTGTGTGGTGACTTTGTGATCCACCCTGAGCTTGCTTTGCTTTCCTTGACTAGTCTTGTGACCGCTTGTTCTCCCCCACTTTGCCTATTGGGGTGTGTCAGAATGTTATATTGCTTACAATTGTGTAGGCTATAGTGGGGTAGCCCATAAGGGGTACAACCCAATTAGGGTTAGTACTTGTACCCAACTGTTTCATAGTTCATTCATTCTCGTTCATTCTTCTGACACTTCGAGCAGGTTAACGGTCGCTTGAAGACCAATTGGTGACTCCTCGACAGCCGCCTCGAGTCCGACATATTTCGGGCCCCGCAGTACGTCGCCACCTGCGTTACTCTTCACTACATCGACCTTGTTCTCGGAAACCGTCGTCGTATAGGGCCTTAATGCGAACGAAACAGGTTGTGGCTTCAGGGTCCCGCGGCACAGGCGCCACATTATTCGCCGCATGACGAGGGATTCACGCCCACTCATGGTCGTACTCGTTTGGCAGCGTACCTCTACGCTTCCTGGAGGCTCGGACATCCCGAGAGCGATCAACCGTCTCTTGGGTACGTGACATGAATGCATCAAACTGTTCACACATGAAGGCTGGACTCTGGGCCACGATGCTTGACACGTGGCTCGTTGTTGGTTGACGAGTCTCAAAATCCTTGCCACACAATCAACACTCCCCCTTGCTCGTGCTGGAGGTGGCTGAACACCACTGGGCAAAATCCTTCACTCCACTCCCCCTTGCCCAAGAAGGGGTGCCATCCATTGCATGATGTTGTCAAGGGAGAGAAGCACCAGCCCTCCCACATCCTGCTCAGGCACCATGCCAACATGGGGATGCATCCCTAGCAAGGACATGCACACACCATGCCGCTCAAAGGGAAGTGGTTTGGTGAGTATGTCGGCTGCTTGGCTGTTGGTTGGACACCACCAGAGGATCACCACACCACCAGCCACCATCTCCCGGATGAAATGCCACCGAACGTGCATGTGCTTGGTGCGACCATGCAAGCATGCATTCTGTGCAAGGGCAATGGCAGACTGGTTGTCCACAAACATAGGCACACCACCAGCAAACTCATGCCCAAACTCCCCAAACAAATGCTTCAGCCACACACCCTCCTGAATGCACTGACACAGACTGATGTGCCTCCCCGCTTGCCCTATGCGTAGGTGCAGCAAATCTGCCGCCACCTGCTCCATGTCCCTCCAACGGGTGCTACAAGCGGCTTCCTCCGCTTCAACCCCATGTGCCCTCTCCATTTGAGGCACACAAACTGGAACAAGGTATATACCCTTGTCTAACTTGGCCTCCATCACCACAGCTCCACCCTTGCGAAACGTGCACCCTCCCATGGTGAAGGTGCATGTGTATCCTTGCCTAGCAAGCTGAGATCATGGGAGGAGGTTGGCTGCCAATCCAGGAACATGAAGCACACCCTTCACATTCAACACCTCCCCCTCCTTCCCGCTGATGGTGATGGTGCCGACGCCGGCTGCTTGCAGCGTATCTCCGCTCCGCACGATCATATTTCTTTAGTTAGGTGGGAGAGAGTGATAGGTAGTTAAGAGGCCACGCCATGGTACCATTCCGAAAGTGGTACCAGAGTCTAGAACAAGGTGATTGGGGTCAGCCAACACACGACCAGCAAGCGTCGTCTCCTTCTCCAAGGATAGGAAGGAGAAACTATCATCGGACAAGTCCTCCTTTCCCTTCCTATCCTCATTCTCCGCCACTGCTGTCGCCTTTCCTTTGCTGCCCTTCTTGTTCCAAGCTCCATTCTTCATCCTCTTCTCCACCCACTCAGGCCTAGTGACAGGTGAAGCCTCTCCTGGGTAGCCTTGCGGCTTCCAACCATCTGACCTTCTCCAACACTCCTTCTACGAGTGTTCCCGGTTGTCAGAACATTATAGCTTTTACATTTATATAGGCTATAGTGGGGTAGCCCATAAGGGGTACAACCCAATTAGGGTTAGTACTTGTACCCAACTCTTTGCTAGTTCATTCATTCTCGTTCACAACATTCTAACATGGTTTCAGAGCAGGTCCCCTAGGACCGGTTTGTTTTTGGGCCCACCGTCTGCTGCCCTGCTAGCCTAGGCCCGCACCCGTTGCCCCTAGGCCCCGGCCCGTCGCCACCCCTAGCCCGACCCATCGCCCCTTGGCGTCGCCCCTAGCCCCTGCCTCGGCCCCTTGGCCCCGTCGACCCCGTCGCCCCTAGCTCGGCCCCTCGGCCCCGTCGCCTCGGCCCCTTGGCCCCATCGCCCCTAGCCGCGGCCCCGTCGGCCCCGTCGCCCCTAGCTCGGCCCCTCGGCCCCGTTGCCTCGGCCCCGCGGCCCCGTCGGCCCCGTCGCCCCTAGCTCGGCCCCTCGGCCCCGTCGCCTCGGCCCCGCGGCCCCGTCGCCCCTAGCTCGGCCCCTCGGCCCCGTCTCCTCGGCCCCTCGGCCCAGTCGCCTCGGCCCCGCGGCCCCGTCGCCCCTAGCTCGGCCCCGTCTCCTCGGCCCCTCGGCCCCGTCGCCTCGGCCCCGCGGCCCCGTCACCCCTAGCTCGGCCCCTTGGCCCCGTCGCCTCGGCCCCGCGGCCCCGTCGCCCCTAGTCGCGGCCTCGTCGACCCCGTCGCCCCTAGCTCGGCCCCTCGGCCCCATCGCCTCGGCCCCTTGGCCCCGTCGCCCCTAGCCGCGGCCCCGTCGGCCCCGTCGCACCTAGCTCGGCCCCTCGGCCCCGTCGTCTCGGCCCCGCGGCCCCGTCGCCCCTAGCTCAGCCCCTCGGCCCCGTCACCTCGGCCCCTTGGCCCCTTCGCCCCTAGCTGCGGCCCCGTCGCCCCTAGCTTGGCCCCGTCGACCCCATCGCCCCTAGCTTGGCCCCGTCGGCCCCGTCGCCCCTAGCTCGGCCCCTCGGCCCCTCGGCCCCTTGGCCCCCAGGCACCTCGGCCCCTCGGCCCCCCCTTGGCCCCTCTTGTTTGGCCCCTCGGCCCCTCGCCCCTAGGCCCCTTGCCCCCCCCCCCTTAGCCCCTCGTGTTTGGCCCCTCGGCCCCTAGCCCCTCGGCACCAAGGCCCCTCGACCCCTCACCCCTAGACACCACGGCCCCCCAAGGCACCTAGGCCCCTCGGCCCCTCGGCCTCTCGCCCCTAGGCACCAAGGCCCCTCGGCCCCTCGCCCCTTGGCCCCTCGGCCCCTTGGCCCCTCGTGTTTGGCCCCTCGGCCCCTTGACCACTACTGCTGCTACTGCTGCTCCTGAGTACTGTGCCACTATGGCTTCGCTTCGAGTCCTAGCGTTCGATCATGAGGGCAGACCGGTTGCGTTTGACACGTGGCTTGACGATCTGCAGCTGTACCTACTGAGTGATACTAAGGACAGTGTTTCGCTGTTTGACCACGTGTCCGGTGCCGCTACAGCCCCTCCCGCCACAGCTGACAGTGCGACTCGCTCACAGTGGCTTTCTCGCGACGTTGCTGCCCGCTTAGCCATTCGCAACCACCTGCCGGTAGCAGAATGCGCTCACTTCGGACAGCACACCTTGCCATCCTAACCCTCGCTCTACAACAATCCCCAACAACTCAAAGTGCCAATAGCAACACAAAAGGTGTTCTAGTGAATAGCAAATGTTTGTTGGTGCTTGTTGTGTGCGAGTTCAATTCCACCCCGCAACAAGCCTACCAATCGCATTTTGCCCAAGCCCTTAGCCCACAACCAGCTAGAGCAAAATACCACAACCGCCCACACAATCATCATGGTTGACATGGGAGTATGCACCCTACGTGTCTCCTTCAGTAGATCACCAAACCTGACCTAAAAACCATGGACATACTTCTCCTGGCCAATCTACAACCACCCACCATTGACCGATCTGCCTGAGTTGTTGCCGGTGCTCTACCGCTGCCTCCATGCTTTCCTCACTTGTCCCAATTTCCCCTTCCGTTGCTGCCTACTTTAGCCAGCTCCAAAAGTGGCTACACCATCTGATCTTTGTGCGACACCAATCCGCATCTCCTCGCTCCTCAAGGAGGTAAGCAGCTGATCCTTGGTATGCAATTACGATCGGTTGTTCAATACCACCTTCAGCATCTCAAAATGAGGTAGTCCTTTGAGCACCCTCATCATTCACTCCTCAACCCCCTCCTTCCCCCCTGCAGCCAAGTACTTGGACCTCAAGTCTTCGGCACGCGCCCAGTATGCAGCCACTCCCTCCCCCTATTTCATATTTAAATAAGAGAGCTCCTTAGAAAGTGCCATCAGGTTGCACAAACTACGCTGAAGGTAAAACCCCCTCAGACGTGTGTATGGCGCTGTTGTGTCTGTAGGAACACGGGTGACTGCTCTTGCTCCACCATCAACAAGTGCGCCACCCAACTCGGTTTTGCCACCCAACTCGGTTTTGCCACGAATCAACTCATCTCGTACCAAGACATTACAGAATTGGGCGAATGCCTTTTGATTCCTCCTCTCCCACTACTGTTGTGCATCACCTGATGCAAGCCACTCCTCCGATCCATCAAAATACCCCCACGGGTCATGCGCCTCTGCCCATTGTTCGAAACGGAAGCTCCAAGTTCAATAGTCGCTCCCGTCGAACTTTGGCGCACTCTCCAGATTCCCTTCGCCCGAATCATGATCCATTTGCGGCAGCAACAATGACGATCAAAGTTGAGGTGGTGGTGGAGGCAATGTCGGCGGTGGTGAAGAAGACGTGGGCAGATTCACCCCCTCTTGTTTTTTGGAGCGTAACTCCGCGCTCGAACCTCTGAATGACAAACCGTTTGAATCAGCCGAATCCTCGCTTCAAGCCCATTTAAATGGTGCGCTGCGCTCTTGGATCCCGCATCTGAGCTGTCTGTTTAAACTCGCCGAATTTGGCCGATTTTCCGTCGACAAAGACTCGACCATTTCTCCCGATTTTTTTCTTGTTGGATGTGCCCTAGTGTCCTCTCTTGGCGCCCGCCCTCCAATTTCTTTTCCGTGCTTTAAATATTCCCCACTTCATGATTTTCCAATTCGACCGCCGTCTGTTTTTTTAGAATTGTGTCCGATCCGCTCGTCGATTGGTGACGGCGCCGAGGCAACTGGTTTAGACCATTCCAAATATATGTTGCACGTCCTGATCGATTGGAGTTGACTGAGCGCTTCCGTGAATGGATGTCGCTTAAGGCTGCCATTGCTATCCCTGCTGTTGCAGAGCTCTAGTAGACGCCATTGTAAAAGCTAGCTGGGCGTAGGAGCGGCAAGCTAGGAACAGCTGGCGCGAGGAAAGGCTGGAGCTAGAGACGGCCGGAGCTAGGAACTAGAATTGTGGCTGCCAACCGCCGCTGGAAGAGCCGCTGGCACTGAGAAGTATCTATAGTAGTACGGGCTGCAGTACAGGTGGATGTGAGATGTAGGCAGCAGTGCGGGTCGCCCGATGGGCGGCAATGCAGGTGGGAGCTGCCTAAACCCTAAACCTTCTTTTGTTTTGATGATTCAATTTGTTTTATTTCATTTCAGGCACTAGCTGCTGTTGGTGTGCTAGCAGCGGCTGGTGGCGCGCTGGCAGCTCCTGTTAGCGCACTAGCTGCTGCTGCTAGTGCGCTAGGAGCTGTTGGTGGTGCGCTAGTAGCTGCTGCTGGCGAGCTAGCTGATGCCTGAACGCGCTAGTTGCTGCTGGCACATGCTTGCTGGCGGGTGGCGCTGCAGGTAGGGCGTACGCGATGGTGCGCGCGGTTGTGCGCGTTTGTCTGTGCAGTAACGCGCGCGAGTCTGTGTTGGTGTGCGCGCTGGCGCGGGCTGTAGTGCGCGCTGGTGATACGCTCCCTGCTGTGGCATAGGCTACTGTTACGCGCCCTGCTGTGGCGCGCGCTGCTGCTGCTGTGCGTGCTGTGGCGCGCATTGCTACGGTGCGCTCTGCATGGGCGTGCTATGCTGGCGGCGCGCCCTGTTGTGGCGCGCGGTGCTGCTAAGCGCGACGGGCTCTACGGGGCATTGGGCGGCCTAAGGCGCGATGGGCTGCTCGGGGCGACGGACAGCCTAGGTGCTGGTTGGCTGGATGGCTGGCTGGCTGGCTAAACGGCTGGTTGGCTGAACGGCTGGCTGGCTAAACGGCTGGCTGGCTGGCTGGCTGGACGGCTGGCCAGCTGGCTGGCTGGCTGGCTTGACGGCAGTATAAGACGTAGGTGGCATAGGACTAACCATCTGGTACCATCTCAGAATCGTACGTAGTGGAATGAGTATGACTAGTAGGAGATGGGTACAAATATGAAACCTAGAAAGTGTTGTACCCTATGCAATGTAACTCGATGTAGCCTAACAAACACATATGACATTTGACACGCAGCAGTTCGCAATCTTTGGTCCAGGTCGGTTAACAGTCGCGACAGTTGACATGCGTGCTCTACATGAGCTAGCGCAGTAATGGTTCAGGCGCAGATTCGCTATGAGTAGGTGCGCTAGGTTGATACCTTCTGGAATGCTGTAGAAACGTTTAGGTTATTCCAACACATACAAGATACACTCACTATACACCGTTGTCTACTTTTGCAGACGATTGTAATTTGATGTTTGCAATTATGAAGTATAAACTCGATTGAATTTCGTCTCAACATTATGACACCCTTACGTTATGAAGTATAAACTGTGTTTGTTTCTGAACATGTTTATTTTATGTATTTTAAAGAAGAAATTAATGTAACCTTATCTGGTAAGTGGAGTGATGTAGACAATCTGGTTGCTTGTTCTAATGGCGAAACACTCATGAAAGCCTGAAGCAGGATCTGACGTAGAATCACTCCCTCCGCCGGAGGTTCTGGTTTTAACTCCTGCACACCGCATTTCGAACCCGAAACGCGCGTTCGGCATCTCGTGGATCGCGAAGTCACCATTTGCGCGCCTCGCTCTCCCCGATCTCGCCGTTCGCCCCGCTCGCAGTGCGCGCAGGACACGCGAGGTTCCACGCCGATTGCGGAGACCATCGGGACAAGGGGCGCAGACGAGGCAAAGCGCGCGGAGGGTAGGCGCGAGGAGGGTAGGCGCGAGGGTTGGCGATGGAGGCGGTGGTGGAGGGGAAGGACTTCAGCTTCCCGCGAAAGGAGGAGAAGGTGCTGCAGCTGTGGGAGCGCCTCGACGCCTTTCACGAGCAGCTGCGCCGCACCGAGGGGCTGCCGGAATACGTCTTCTACGATGGGCCGCCCTTCGCCACAGGTGCCGCCCTTCGCCACAGGTGCCGCCCTTCGCCACAGGTAACCCCTTCGCCACAGGTAACCCCTTCGCCACAGGTGCCGCCCTTCGCCACAGGTGCCCTTCGCCACGTGCGAGGCGCGACATTCACTGCATTCGCGACCTTCGTCAACCCCCACTTGCGCGCAGTCGCGCCTCCCTCCGCGGCCTCCCGCCACTCCGCAATCAACCGCTCACCCACCCCGCTCCCCCACAGCGTCACCTCCCTGCTTGCCCTCCCGCCGCCTCGCCTCGCCCCACCCGCCTCCCCTCTCTTCCCCCTCCTCCCCCAGGCCTGCCGCACTACGGGCACATCCTGGCGGGCACGATCAAGGACGTGGCCATGCGCTTTGACGCGCCTCACACGGCCCCCCTCCCCCCACGCTCCTCCCCCCCCCCTCTTCCCCCCCCCCCCCCCTCCCCTCCCCCAGGCCTGCCGCACTACGGGCACATCCTGGCGGGCACGATCAAGGACGTGGTGACGCGCTACCAGACGGCCACGGGCCACCACGTCACGCGGCGCTTCGGGTGGGACTGCCACGGGCTGCCCGTCGAATACGAGATCGACCAGAAGCTCAACGTCAAGAGCCGCGACGACGTGCGTGCGAGCCGGGGGAAAGGAAGGGGGGAAGGGTAGGGACGGCGAGCGAGTGAGTGAGGGGAGTGAGAGAGAGGGAGGGGCGGTGAGGGCTGGCCTGCCCGTGGAGTGAGTGAGGGCTGGCCTGCCCGTGGAGTGAGTGAGGGCTGGCCTGCCCGTGGAGTGAGTGAGATCGACCAGACGCTCCACGTCAAGAGCCGCGACGACGTGCGTGGAAAGGGGGGGGGGGGAGGGAAGGGAAGGGAAAGGAAGGGAAGGCGAGCGAGTGAGAGGTGAGAGAGTGCGGCGCGGTGACGGCGGAATGTGGGAGGAGCACGAGAGGGGCCCAGCAGGCTTGAAGTCTTCCCATCGCGCTGCGCCCTCGTTTAGCCGCGTTTTGTGGGTGGGCACTCGCGTGGCCTGACCAGAGCACGGCGAATGCTGCCCTCGTCTTCTCAGAAGCTCTTTGCTGTGTGGGGCAAGCGACGAGGCAGCCCCGGTGCCGATCAGGGCGCTGCAACCGCAGGGGCGAGGAATGGGAATGGGAACCAGCCTTGAGAGCAACCAGAGAATACCAGCAAGTGACAAGACATTGGGATGACAGGGGAAGGAAGGGCCTAGGAGAATGGGTAGCGAGACGAGACGGGTGTTTGAAAGCTTGATTCCCCCATGACATGTAGTAAAATGCCGGGGTCTGTGTGAAAGTAGGCTGGATATGTTGAGGGCTGGCCGTGAGAAATACGTTCAGATTTTGAGTCAAGACAGACAGGGTGATTACTGTTCTAGCGTATGGCGCGCCCTGTTGTGCTCACCCATTCCGTTCATTGCGGGTGGTGTGGGGGTGTGTTGGGGGGGTGGTGGGGTGGGGGGATGGTTGGTGTGAAAATCCGTTTCGTGTGTCCTGGTTGGTGTGGGTGCTGTGTATGGGTGTGGTGTGCGGCATGGCATGGCATGGCAGGTGACGCGGATGGGCATAGACGTGTACAACGAGGAGTGTCACAGCATTGTCATGCGCTACTCCTCCGAGTGGCGCGACATCATCACGCGCGTGGGCCGTTGGATCGACTTTGACAACGACTACAAGACGTTGGATGCGGGGTACATGGAGTCGTGCTGGTGGGTCTTCTCGCAGCTCTACGCCAAGGGCCTTGTGTACCGGGGCTTTAAGGTCATGCCATTCTCCACCGCCTGCAACACGCCGCTCTCCAACTTTGAAGCTGGCCTCAACTACAAGGTGGGTGGGTGTGCAGTTGATGCATGCAACATGCAGTGAGAGTGTTGACTGCTTTGGAAGAGGGGTGGGGGTGGAGCAGCGATTCACTCTGTAGGTAGCAACAGCACTGAGAGGCCGTGTGGGGCGTTGATCGCATGAGGAGAGGGAGGGAGTGGCACCGTGGAATGGCACTCACGCACTGGTAACACAGTGCACGCACTGGTAACACAGTGCACGCATGCCTGTGCGCACAGCTGCCCCATGCCTCACCTTGTTGTTATGTGTGCAGTCCCTACTGTCATGTTGCCCTCCCTCATTCCGCATCCCCTCTGTGATACCCCACCCATCCTCTCTCACATCACATGCCCCACCTTCTCTCTCACATGCCCCACCTTCTCTCTCACATGCCCCACCTTCTCTCTCACATGCCCCACCTTCTCTCTCATTCATTCGTCACTTCACCCTCTCTCGCACCCTTCGGGGAGCACAGGACGTGTCGGACCCAGCGGTGGTGGTGACGTTCCCACTGCACGGGGATGCGGATGGGGCAGCACTGGTGGCATGGACCACCACGCCCTGGACGTTGCCCTCCAACCTCGCGCTCTGCGTCAACCCCGCCTTCTCCTACTGCAAGGTGCCCTCCCTGCCTCTGGGCCATAAAAAACGCACAGCATCGTGAACCACACCGTACTGTACCGTATTATACCGTACCGTACCATTGCTCTCCGTATATACTGGCAAGGCGACCTTCTACTATACCACTTTATGGAGCACCATTGTGTACAAACTATGTACTATACTTCACCATCCATATACTACACTATTCCATACTCTATGATACCATACTGCATGATCCTGTAACCCACAATACCATGAAATGCCATACTCTGCTAAGCCATGCTGTATGCTACTGCTCTAAAATAAGCAAAACCATGGTGTACCATTTAAGTGACCCATCTGGCCTGCGGTGTGCTCTGCGCCCCGCACTCACCCTTTTGCCCCCCGCATCAGGTGCGCAACCGGGACACGGGCGCCGTGCTCATGCTCGCGCACTCCCGCCTTTGCGCCCTGCCCGGCCGCAAGAAGGCCAAGGGGGAGGGCAAGGGGGACGCTAAGGGGGAGGCCAAGGGGGATGAGAAGGCAGCAGGGGAGGAGAAGGGGAAGGGAGAGGCGAAGGGAGGCAAGGCAGGTGGCGGAGAGAAGGGGAAGGGCGGCAAGGGAGGGGGGAAGAAGGGCGGAGGCAGCAAGGAGCAGAGCGGGGGGGCGGCAGCAGGGGGCGGGGGAGTGGAGGGCCTGGATGAGTCGCTGTATGAGGTGATCGCCACCGTCACTGGCGCTGACCTTGTGGGCCTCACGTGAGTGCCGCCTCTCTCACCCCCTGCACTGCACACACAGCACGTCGTCCCTCACACATTGCTGGCCGTGTGCATGCATCAAAGTGCATCTCCCAAACCCCATCATGAGCTTCTCCCCCTTTTCCGTCTTCCTCTCCCTCCCCCTCTCCCTCCCCCTCTCCCTCCCCCTCTCCCTCCCCCTCTCCCTCCCAAGCAGCTACGAGCCCATGTTTCCGTACTACAAGGAGGCCATGCCCTCTGCGTTCCGAGTGGTGGCGGACAGCTTTGTGACGGACGACAGCGGCACGGGCGTGGTGCATTGCGCGCCCGCCTTTGGGGAGGACGACTACCACGTGTGCCTGGCTGCAGGAATCATCGGCAAGGTGCGCCCGCCCCCACATCACAGAGCACACACACACGTGCTCGTCCCTCATGTGGCCCTCCTGTCGCCTCGGCTCTCTCTTCACTCACCCCGCTCGCACGCTCTCTCGGGGACGGCACCTCCTTCCGCCGCCCTGCTATTCTGCTGTGCCTTGCCGTGCGATGCCATGTGGTCCGTGCGGTGCAGTAGTACAGGCCGGTGCATGGTATGTGGAGGAGGGGAAGTGGCTGCCTGCCTGCACTCATCTGTGGCGCCACCTTACCGCCTCCCGCCTGTGACCCCTCCATGCCTGCTGCATTCCTGTCACTGTACATCCATTCATTTGTCTGTGCCGCTTGCATGCATGCTGCATAAGTGCGTGGGTGCATGGGGTGCATGGCTGTATGCATGCACCACGGCAGGGTGAGGCGATACCGAATCCAGTGGATGGCGATGGGCGGTTCACGGAGAAGGTGACGGACTTCAAGGGGCAATATGTGAAGGATGCAGACAAGCCCATCCTCGCCATGCTCAAGGTGAGGAGGGTAGCGCTAGCGTTGCGATTCACCAGCATTTATTCATGCTCCTTCTTTCCACTTTGCTCCCTCCCTCCCGGCCCCTCTTGGCCCCGTGTCTTTGTTATGTGCTCGTGATTGCCCACTGGATGGTCCCCTCACCCCCCTTCCCCTCCTTCCCCCACTCATCTCTTGTGCTGTGCAAGTAGGAGGCGGGGAGGGTGGTGAGTGTGGGGAGCATAATGCATTCCTACCCCTTCTGCTGGCGCTCCGACACGCCCCTCATCTACCGTGCCGTGCCCAGCTGGTATGCGCACCACCCCCCTCCCTCCCCCCTCACTGTGCCCAGCTGGTATGCGCGCCACCCCCCCTTCCTTTCACTGTGCCCACCTGGTACGCCAGCCACCCTCTTCCCCCCTTCACCTCTCTCTCGCCTCTCCGCTCGTTTCCGCTACTCACCTCCCCTCTCCTCTCCACTCTTCTCCTCCTCTCCCCTGCCTCCTGAACTTTTTTCCTTTCTACCAAGCTTATGCTTCCCTATACCCACTCCCCTCTCACCCACTACCCACTTCCCATCTCCCATATTCCCATACCCCACTCACCCCTTCCCTTTCCCTTGTACGGGCTCCATATCCCTCTCCTCTCTCCCTCTCCCACCCTTTCCGGGCACGCAGTGGGTGCCGGAATACGTCAAAGAAAAGCGCTTCCACAACTGGCTTGAGAACGCGCGTGCTCTCCCCTCCCCCACCTCCTTCAGGTTCATAGCGGTGGAGCAGATAAAGCCCGCACTCCTAGCGGCCAACGCGGGCACGCAGTGGGTGCCGGAGTACGTCAAAGAAAAGCGCTTCCACAACTGGCTCGAGAACGCGCGCGACTGGGCCGTCAGCCGCTCCCGCTTCTGGGGCACGCCGCTGCCCATCTGGGCCAATGAGGACTTGAGTGAGATGAGGGTGGTGGGCAGCATTGCAGAGCTGGAGGCGCTGGGGGGGGAGCGGGTGTCGGACCTGCACCGGCACAAGATCGACCACATCACCATTCCCAGCAGCAAGGGGGCGGACCACCCGCCGCTCAAGCGCATTGAGGATGTGAGTGCTGCTGCCAGGGGGGAGGGGAGCGGGGCTGTGGGTGAGGCGTGGGGTTGTGGGTGAGGCGTGGGGTTGTGGGTGAGGCGTGGGGTTGTGGGTGAGGCGTGGGGTTGTGGGTGAGGCGTGGGGTTGTGGGTGAGGCGTGGGGTTGTGGGTGAGGCGTGGGGTTGTGGGTGAGGCGTGGGGTTGTGGGTGAGGCGTGGGGTTGTGGGTGAGGCGTGGGGTTGTGGGTGAGGCGTGGGGTTGTGGGTGAGGCGTGGGGTTGTGGGTGAGGCGTGGGGTTGTGGGTGAGGCGTGGGGTTGTGGGTGAGGCGTGGGGCTGTGGGTGAGGCGTGGGGCTGTGGGTGAGGCGTGGGGTTGTGGGTGAGGCGTGGGGTTGTGGGTGAGGCGTGGGGTTGTGGGTGAGGCGTGGGGTTGTGGGTGAGGCGTGGGGTTGTGGGTGAGGCGTGGGGTTGTGGGTGAGGCGTGGGGTTGTGGGTGAGGCGTGGGGTTGTGGGTGAGGCGTGGGGTTGTGGGTGAGGCGTGGGGTTGTGGGTGAGGCGTGGGGTTGTGGGTGAGGCGTGGGGTTGTGGGTGAGGCGTGGGGTTGTGGGTGAGGCGTGGGGTTGTGGGTGAGGCGTGGGGTTGTGGGTGAGGCGTGGGGCTGTGGGTGAGGCGTGGGTGTGGGTGAGGCGTGGGGTTGTGGGTGAGGCGTGGGGTTGTGGGTGAGGCGTGGGGTTGTGGGTGAGGCGTGGGGTTGTGGGTGAGGCGTGGGGTTGTGGGTGAGGCGTGGGGTTGTGGGTGAGGCGTGGGGTTGTGGGTGAGGCGTGGGGCTGTGGGTGAGGCGTGGGGCTGTGGGTGAGGCGTGGGGTTGTGGGTGAGGCGTGGGGTTGTGGGTGAGGCGTGGGGTTGTGGGTGAGGCGTGGGGTTGTGGGTGAGGCGTGGGGTTGTGGGTGAGGCGTGGGGTTGTGGGTGAGGCGTGGGGTTGTGGGTGAGGCGTGGGGTTGTGGGTGAGGCGTGGGGTTGTGGGTGAGGCGTGGGGTTGTGGGTGAGGCGTGGGGTTGTGGGTGAGGCGTGGGGCTGTGGGTGAGGCGTGGGGCTGTGGGTGAGGCGTGGGGTTGTGGGTGAGGCGTGGGGTTGTGGGTGAGGCGTGGGGTTGTGGGTGAGGCGTGGGGTTGTGGGTGAGGCGTGGGGTTGTGGGTGAGGCGTGGGGTTGTGGGTGAGGCGTGGGGTTGTGGGTGAGGCGTGGGGTTGTGGGTGAGGCGTGGGGTTGTGGGTGAGGCGTGGGGTTGTGGGTGAGGCGTGGGGTTGTGGGTGAGGCGTGGGGTTGTGGGTGAGGCGTGGGGTTGTGGGTGAGGCGTGGGGTTGTGGGTGAGGCGTGGGGTTGTGGGTGAGGCGTGGGGCTGTGGGTGAGGCGTGGGGCTGTGGGTGAGGCGTGGGGCTGTGGGTGAGGCGTGGGGCTGTGGGTGAGGCGTGGGGCTGTGGGTGAGGCGTGGGGTTGTGGGTGAGGCGTGGGGTTGTGGGTGAGGCGTGGGGTTGTGGGTGAGGCGTGGGGCTGTGGGTGAGGCGTGGGGCTGTGGGTGAGGCGTGGGGCTGTGGGTGAGGCGTGGGGCTGTGGGTGAGGCGTGGGGTTGTGGGGTTCACTCATGTGCTGTTCGGACAACGTGGGCTGGGGGGAAGTGAGGAGGAGGGGTTCTGTGCGTGACAGCAACGCCTCTTGCGCCTGGACCTTGCATTCTCTCCACAACGAACCCCCTCCGCCTCTCTTGTTCCACATCCTCCCGCGCTCCCCTCCCCCGGCCTGCCTCTGACAGGTGTTTGACTGCTGGTTTGAGAGTGGCAGCATGCCGTACGCGTACATCCACTACCCGTTTGAGAACAAGGAGCTCTTCGAGAAGAACTTCCCTGGCCACTTCATCGCCGAGGGGCTCGACCAGACCCGCGGCTGGTGAGCCATGGCGTGTGGGAGTTGGATGGCATGTGGGGTGGTGAGGGCGCATGGCATGTGGGACGGCGCAGGGAAGCATGGGTATGATGAGGGTGGGGGGTTCACTTGTGCTGGATGAACATTGCCCTCACCCGCTGATGCTGTGGATGGCGAAGGCCATGCTCGCACACCCGCACCTCGCCCTGTCGGCCGGCCTTCACTCCACTCGGACTCTCCTTCTCCCTCTCACCACTTTGTGCCCACTTGCCCATTTTGCCCTCATTCCCCCTCCCCCATGCCCCATTCCCTCCCCTCTCTTCCCCCCTGCCCTCCTGCCACCACCCCCCTCCCCACCTCCCTCGTCTCTTAGGTTCTACACGCTGATGGTGCTGTCAACAGCCCTGTTCAACAAGCCCGCGTTCCGCAATCTCATATGCAACGGGCTCGTGCTGGCGGAGGACGGCAAGAAGATGAGCAAGCGCCTTCGCAACTACCCGCCGCCCATGGACGTCGTGGGGGCCTACGGTGCGGACGCGCTGCGCCTCTACCTCATCAACTCGCCCGTCGTGCGCGCCGAGCCCCTGCGCTTCAAGAAGGAAGGCGTCTTCGCCGTGGTGAGCTGTGGTGGCGAGTGGTGATGAGTGGATTGGAATGGTGTGAGGTGGCAATGGGTGGTGAATGGTGTGAGGTGGCAATGGGTGGTGAATGGTGGTAACACTTATGTTCATGCCCCTCAGCCTTGTGATTGAAGAAGTGTTTTGAGACGTCTCAAAATTGAAGAAGTGTTTTGAGACGTCTCAAAACACTTCTTCAATTTCATGCCCCTCAGCCTTCTCACACTGCACGTGCCTTGTGGGGAGGGGCATTGTGTGTGCCCTAGAATCCCTGAGTGATTCACTGCCCTCCCTCCAGTTGGTCTACCTGTTTCAGCGCGCTTCCCTCTCCTTTCCCCCCTCCCTCCCCCCACCCCTTGCCAGGTGCGGGACGTGTTCCTGCCATGGTACAACGCGTACCGCTTCCTCGTGCAGAACACGCTGCGCCTCACCGCCGAGGGACTGCCGCCCTTCCAGCCAATGACGGCGCGCCAGCTGGCGGAGAGCAGCAACGTGCTGGACGTGTGGATCCACTCCGCCAGCCAGAGCCTGGCGCAGTTCGTGCGAGCTGAGATGGAGGCGTACCGCCTCTACACCGTGAGTGGATGGAGGCGTACCGCCTCTACACCGTGAGTGGATGGAGGCGTACCGCCTCTACACCGTGAGTGGATGGAGGCGTACCGCCTCTACACCGTGAGTGGATGGAGGCGTACCGCCTCTACACCGTGAGTGGATGGAGGCGTACCACCTCTACACCGTGAGTGCGCTCAAAAGAGGTCTGAGGTGTGAGGTGAGAGGTGTGTGCTCCACTCTGTGAGTGGGGGCATCAGCTGAATGTGGTGCTGTCACGTCACACACTGCTAGCTTCCTTCCTCTCGTATTCTCATCGTCCCTGAGCCCACCTCGTTTTTCAGCGTAGCTTCAAAGTAGGTCGCAAACAAGCAGGCAATCACAGAGGGAGCACGTCGTAGAAGCCACGGCCTCAATCCCCTTCTGGCCTCAATCCGCTGCTGCCCGACTGTCCTCCCACCACCCTTGGCACACGTGACACATGTCGGCAGGTGGTGCCCTACCTGGTGCGGTACATAGACAGCCTCACCAACGTGTACGTGCGCTTCAACCGCAAGCGCCTCAAGGGCCGCACCGATGATCAAGACTGCCGCTTCGCCCTCTCCTCGCTCTTCCATGTCAGTGCCTCTCCTCGCTCTTCCATGTCAGTGCCTCTCCTCGCTCTTCCATGTCAGTGCCTCTCCTCGCTCTTCCATGTCAGTGCCTCTTCTCGCTCTTCCATGTCAGTCCCTTTTCTCACTCTTCCATGTCAGTCCCTTTTCTCACTCTTCCATGTCAGTCCCTTTTCTCACACTTCCATGTTGGTGTTGTTGCTGGCACCACCTCCATCCTGATTGTTGAATGCGCCTCTCGCAGCGTCTCTCCCACTCCTCATTTCCTTTTTCTTATTCCGCTCTCATCTCTTTCTCATCGTTACCCCCATTCCCCCGCCTTACCAGGTGCTGTTGAGGGTGTGCAAGGCCATGGCGCCCTTCACGCCATTCTTCACCGAGGCCATGTACCAGAACCTCCGCAAAGCCCTGCCGCCACGCCCCCCTGCTGCTGATGGTGGGGCGGGGAAGGCGGAGGGGCTGGGCGGGGTGGCGGAGGACGAGGAGCATGCGGAGTGGGCGGAGGAGTCGGTGCACTTCTGCTGCTTCCCCTCCTCCGACCAGCACGTGAGTCGCTCTCATGAGCACGCGGGGTTGGGGGATGGTGATCAGCATGTGAACGATTGGTGATAAGCATGCGAGGTCATGTTGATAAGCAGCAGCTACAGGACGAATGTGCAGCAGCTCATGTGCTTCCACACACGGCACTCATTTAGTCCTCTGCAACACCCTCGCTTCAAACATGCCCACTGCACCTTCCCACTCATTAGGTGCTTGCTGTCTCCCACCTATTCCTGCACCTTCCTCTCTCCCTCACTTCTTCCTGCATGCGTGCAGCACAGCAGATTGACTGCTGCTGATTGGATCTCCATGCTCGTGTCTCTGCTCGCTTTCCCCCTCTCCCTCTCCTCCCTCCTTCTCCCACCCCCGTCCCTCCCTCTCATGCATGGCAGGTGGACGAGCGCACGGAGCGCAGTGTGGAGAGGATGATGAAGGTCATTGACCTCGCCAGGAACATCCGCGAGAGAAACAACCGCCCGCTCAAGACGCCCCTCAGGTGAGCAACAACAACGAAATGCCGGTCTTTTGAAATGGCCGTTGGGCCAGTGTGGCACTCCAACTCTCTGTGTCGGAGCCCCCAGGCATATTCACTGGCAATAATGGCGGTAGCGGCGCCGCTATTTAACCACCTTCCGTTAGGCCCAAGCCCAGCAGCTGCTTGGCTAAACCAACTCCCACGGCATGCCAACTCTGTTTTCTTCACCTCATCCGAGCAAGTACCCATTTTACCTCGAACATGCACTGCATTATGCCCCGCAGCACTGCATTATGCCCCGCAGCACTGCATTATGCCCCGCAGCACTGCATTATGCCCCGCAGCACTGCTCACCTCCTCCCTGTCGTCCGTGCGTGTGTGCCGTGTGACCGCGGCAGGGAGATGGTGGTGGTGCACCCGGACGCTCAATTCCTTGAAGACATCACTGGCAAGCTGTGTGAGGTGAGGCAAGCTGTGTGTGTTGGAATAAGAATGTTTAGGACACATGCGAAGAGTTCAGTTATGACAAGGTATGGCGAAGTTGCAAAGAAAACACATTTCTGGCTTATCTCCCCCTGTCACTTTCATCTGCCCCCTCATGGTGCCCTGCCCTCTTCCCCGGAAATCCACTCATCGTCAGTCGACAAAAAAGCTACGCTTAGACTGTCAGTCGACAAAGCATTCTTTTTTCCACCCACTCCCTCCTCCCCTCCCTCCTCACCCCCACTCCATGTCTCCCCTCCCTTCCTTCCCCCCTCCCCACTCCCCCCTCCCCCCTGCCAGTACGTGCGGGAGGAGCTGAACGTGCGCTCCGTGCTGCCCTGCGCTGACACCAGCAAGTACACCTCCGTGCGCGCCGAACCTGACTTCAGGTACGGCCCGAACCACATGAATAGGCAGAGAAATTCCGAACCTGGCTGCAGCAGCTATGGTGGAAGAGAGCAACTGGTGTACGTGGATGCAGTGCAGAGCAGCATGAACGGCATTGCTTGCAACAGCTGTGCTTCGCATGGTGTCCCGTGGTGTCGTGCGGTGTGGTGTGGTGTGGTGGGTGCATGGAGACTGTCACCCGTGGGTTGTGGGGCACTACAAGTAGAGCAGTGCATGCTGGCAGACACACAAACGAGTGCCTTGCCTCGCCTCCCACATGAGATCGCAGCACGCCAAGGCAAGGCTGCACTGTGCCTGTCTGCTCGCGGTGCATGCGCCGAAGCAGCGCACCATTCGCTCCATACTCCTCCTCCCTCCCTTCCCTTGTGCAACTGCTCCCTCCTCCCTCCTCTCACATCCCAACCACTTACCTTTTCTAACATCTTATCCACCCACCCACCACGGGCACGCGGCGTGGCAGTGTGTTGGGGCGGCGCGTGGGGAGGGCGATGGGCGCAGTAGCGAAGGCGGTGAAGGAGATGGACGCGGCGGCCATCGCTGCCATGCAGCTCGCTGGGGAGGTCACTGTGGCGGGCCACATGCTCTCCGCCTCTGATATCAAGGTGGGCACAGGGGGGGATGGAGATGAGAGGCACGGGGGGGCAGAGACGAGGGTCGTGGGCAGTCTTTGGGTTTGACGGTATGATGTAGAGCAAGTAAAGAAGGGGGTTGAGTGGAAGATGGGGGGTGAGTTGTTGGCGTGGATTAGAGAGAAAGTTGGATGTGAAAGGTGTTGGAGGAGAGTGGGTGGTGAAGATCCCTCCTAGGCGTAGTTTTCACTCTCTTGCTTTCATTGTTTTTCCTTCCCCTTCTCCTTTGCCAACCTCTAGGCAATGTTCGGCTGCCACAGGGGATCGAAGGGAGGGGATGGGATGGAGCATGAAAACGCCAGGCCTCCAGGTTCGACCTTGACGAACCAGGCAAAACACTTCGGTCAGAAAAGAAAATTCTGAAAAACATGTCGAACTTGAGCCTAAAACGCGACGCGAACCCCACGCTAGGCTTTAGACCGCGTCGCGTCCTCCCCCAAATTCCCCCCTTATGGCGGAAAAACTTCGCCCTAGTGTCCAGGGCATGAGAATTGCAATCCCGTGAGTGGGCTCAACCCACGGGGGATGAAAAATGCATTCCCCCTTCCACGATTTTAGTTTATATGTTTTCCCCACACTCTAAAAAACAAAAAAACTCGGACATCGAAGTAATACTGCTTAACACACAGATTTAGGGCGTATCTCAGTTCGGGTCATGAGCACTGTTCATGCTACTGTTTGGGTCATGCGGAAATTGCGCTTGACCCGAAGTGGGCTGCCGAGCCGCGCGCGGCCCCAGCTTTGGGTCAAAGTGCAGGTGTTGAGCGACTGACGTGCACGACCCACCCCCAACCAATCACCTGGTTGCACGATTCTGGTTTTACTGCCATCTTTTAGACGGTCGTCACTCGAGTGTCACAAGTGGGCAATGTCCCATGTCCTACACCTCTGCGCCCAACCACTCGGCAAATTGACCCCAGTGACCCTCGATGTGTCTAAAATTTCCCGCGGCGCGCTCCCAACATTTTGGGATTCACGCAGGGAATTTTGACTATTGAGTTTTTTCGGTGGGTGTTGCTCATTATCTTGCGAACTGTGCTGGCTTCCCGCCATTGGAGGCGACTGGTCTTTGGCGGGCGATTTTGCATAACGAAGCCGCGCGACACTCTGAGGGTCGCAGGAGATCGGATGACCCAAGGTGGCGTTGTCAGTAGTTTGGGAAAGTGAGCTACCCAAACAAATCGCAACAGTAAATGCGACAGGTAGAAGGAAAACTGTTCAGCTCGCGAAGTTTCGTCTCGCGCGGCTGCAGTTTCGTGAGCCCCCATTTCCCGATCGCCCGTCCGCGCCATTTCCCCCAAACCCTCCGCTTGCGCCTGGACCCTAGACTTCCGAGTGAACGGCTGTTGACTCTAAGTTGACTAACCCAAACTAGAGACCCTAGCTACGAGTTTCGATCCCTCCCCCCATCCCCCATGTGCTGCCGAACATCGCCCTACTCTTCTCTCATTCTCCTCCAAACCTTCGCCACCTGTCTCCACACCTTCACCACCTCTCTCCACCCCCCTGTCACACACTCCACAGTGTCCACTCCGCCGTCCATTGCCCACACGCCTGCCATCCTGTGTCTACCAGGTGGTGCGCGACTTCAAGGCGCCCGAGGGCAGCACGGCGGGCGACATGGACGCGGCGGGCGATGGCGAGGTGCTCGTGGTGCTGGACCTGCGCGTCGATACCGACCTGCTTGACGCTGGCACTGCACGCGAGGTGAGGCATTCAGAGTATGAAGAGGGGGGGAGACTGATGAGTGGACACAAAAGACGGCAGTGAGGTGCTCGTAGTGCTCCACCTGTGAGCTGAGCTGACATCGCGCTTCTCCATGGCGGTGCTGCGCACAAGGTGAGGCGAGTGATTCATGACGCGGGGAAGGGGAGTGATTTGTCATGCCACCTAGTCCCACAATCCAGCAAGTGCTGCTCTTTATGCTCTGTGTTGCTCCTCTGCACAATTCTCCCTTCTTCCTTCTCCCCTTTCCCTTGTGCGTCTATTCACTCACGCAGGCACTGTGCCTGGATGTGTACTGGCTGCTTCCACTCTGTCTTACGTTAGCCCCTGAGCCCTTGTTCCCACCGTCTCCATGCCGCCACGCCTGAACACAGCAACCCAAACCACATATTCTTCCCATCGCTCCCATCCCCCCAACGTGCTGAGCTCCCACCACCCCCCTCCCTCGTTGACGACCCTCTTGTGTCCGCCCCCTGTGCTGCCCACCCCTGTGCTGTCCCCCCCTGTGCTGCCCACCCCTGTGCTGTCCCCCCCTGTGCTGCCCACCCCTGTGCTGTCCCCCCCTGTGCTGCCCACCCCTGTGCTGTCCCCCCCTGTGCTGCCCACCCCTGTGCTGTCCCCCCCTGTGCTGCCCCCCTGTGCTGTCCCCCCCTGTGCTGCCCGCCTGTGGCCGTACTCCCCACCAGGTGGTGAACCGCGCGCAGAAGCTGCGCAAGAGGGCAGGGCTGGAGCCATCGGACGCCGTGGAGGCATTCATCCTTGTGCACGCGCCCGATGGCGCTGATGGTGCGCATGGGGAGAATGGCACGGAGGGCGCTGAGCTTAGTGGCAAAAGACGCGTCCTGCGTCTAAGACGAGTGCGTCCAGACGCAGCGTCTTAGACGCAGGACGCATGATGTGGGCCTTTGAGACGCAGCAAAAGACGCAGGCCCGGGCAGGGCAAAAGAAGCCCCTGGGCAGCCAAAAAAACACGTTATAGGGCATGGGAAGGGGGGGGAGGACGACGTATCACACACGTGAGGCAAAAACATAGCTATGGAGCGAAAGGTAGCACTATGGAGCGAAAGGTAGCTAAACCCTCAAGGGTTTACGAAGGAGAATTGTGTGTGGGCTGTTTTTGATGGTCGAAATGGGTCTGGGGGTCGAAATTTCGCGACATTGACATTTGCGTCGAAATCGCGAATGTCAACTTCGCGATCGGGAAACAAAACAAAAAAAATCCGGTCAGCCCGAAAAAAATTATGCCGTGCGTCCTGCGTCTGGACGCGCGTCCAGCGTCCCTGCGTCCGGACGCTGCGTCCAGACGCAGGACACATGACGCGCCCAGCGTCTTTTGCCACTTAGGCGCTGAGGGTGCTGAGGAGTCGGCGCTGCATCGCATTCTGGCGGCTCAGGTGCTGCCTCTGCTGCCATGAGCCTCAAGTGCCCCACTCTTAACCGTTTCTCTTATGCATTCGTTGTGATCCCCTCCTATCTTTATGTTCTTCCCATCCTCTCCTCTCTTCCCATCCTCTCCTCTCTTCCCATCCTCTCCTCTCTTCCCATCCTCTCCTCTCTTCCCATCCTCTCCTCTCTTCCCATCCTCTCCTCTCTTCCCATCCTCTCCTCTCTTCCCCTTTCTCCCGTCCATCGCTTTCACTACGTTCTCCCCATCAGCTCCGCTCACCTTTCTTTGCTTCACCGCGTTGCCCTCCCTTCCGCCCTTTCCCCACCCCACCAGGCGGAGTACATTCGGGAAGCGTTGGGGGCGCCGCTGCTATCTGCCGACTACTGCCCCTCCCATGCCGTATGTGCCCCTCCCATGCCGTATGTGCCCCTCCCATGCCGTATGTGCCCCTCCCATGCCGTATGTGCCCCTCCCATGCCGTATGTGCCCCTCCCATGCCGTATGTGCCCCTCCCATGCCGTATGTGCCCCTCCCATGCCGTATGTGCCCCTCCCATGCATCATTACCCCTTTTTGATGCCGTACGCACCTCAATTGTATCTATTCGCAGGGGTGTGGATGAGTAAACCGTTGTGCTCTCTACTCATACACTCCACCCCCCCACCCCCCTCTTCTCCTCCCCTTGACCCTCATGGGCAGGTGGTGCTGGCATCGGAGCGCTACAGCGGGGTGGCGGGGGCCTCCTTCACACTCACGCTCACTCGCCCCGCACTCTGCTTCTCGCCGTCCCTCGCTGCTGACCTCTGCAACGGTGAGTTGCTTGCAGGGCTCTAGAGCACATCACAGGGCTCTAGAGCACATCACAGGGCTCTAGAGCACATCACAGGGCTCTAGGTGGCAGCGTGTCCTCCCTGCCATGCGTGCCGGGCTGCTGTGCTCTGCTCCCTGTCCTCTTGCACCTTCATCGTCTCACCAACTTGTTGTCACACCACCATGCCATCACACCACCATGCCATCACACCACACCACCATGCCATTGACACCTTTGCACTTTCATTCCATGTATTTGCAAACCACTCTTCGCTATCTCACCGTCTGGTGTGCTGGTTGGTTTGTTGTTGTCCATTCACCCCTGTCCATGCCTTCCACCTGTGCACGCATGTTCGAGGCAGTGTGGAGCTAAGTGCTGCAGTGAAAGTGGTCGTACCACATGCTTGCATCCGTCAACCATCTCTTCCCTGCATTCATCACCCTCTGTGCACCCGTCCTTCCTGCTCCCCCACCAGGCGATGCAGCTGCAGCCACGGCAGTGCAGGTGGCGCTCATGGCTCGCGACCCCGCCAAGCTCAAGGCTGAGATTGCAGCTGCAGGCGGCAAGGTGAGCAGCGATAGCCATGCCGTGCGGTGTATGTGACGCTGGGTGTGAGCAACCACTGTGAGCAACCACTGTGAGCAACTACTATGAGCAACCAGTGTGAGCAACCAGTGTGAGCAACCACTGTAAGCAACCACTGTGAGCAACCACTGTGAGCAACCACTGTGAGCAACCACTGTGAGCAACCACTGTGAGCAACCACTGTAAGCAACCAGTGTGAGCAACCACTGTGAGCAACCACTGTGAGCAACCACTGTAAGCAACCAGTGTGAGCAACCACTGTGAGCAACCACTGTGAGCAACCAGTGTGAGCAACCACTGTGAGCAACCACTGTGAGCAACCACTGTGAGCAACCAGTGTGAGCAACCAGTGTGAGCAACCACTGTGAGCAACCAGTGTGAGCAACCACTGTGAGCAACCAGTGTGAGCAACCACTGTGAGCAACCAGTGTGAGCAACCACTGTGAGCAACCAGTGTGAGCAACCACTGTGAGCAACCAGTGTGAGCAACCACTGTGAGCAACCAGTGTGAGCAACCACTGTGAGCAACCAGTGTGAGCAACCACTGTGAGCAACCAGTGTGAGCAACCACTGTGAGCAACCAGTGTGAGCAACCACTGTGAGCAACCAGTGTGAGCAACCACTGTGAGCAACCAGTGTGAGCAACCACTGTGAGCAACCAGTGTGAGCAACCACTGTGAGCAACCAGTGTGAGCAACCACTGTGAGCAACCAGTGTGAGCAACCACTGTGAGCAACCAGTGTGAGCAACCACTGTGAGCAACCAGTGTGAGCAACCACTGTGAGCAACCAGTGTGAGCAACCACTGTGAGCATCCAGTGTGAGCAACCACTGTGAGCAACCAGTGTGAGCAACCACTGTGAGCATCCACTGTGAGCAACCACTGTGAGCAACCACTGTGAGCAACCACTGTGAGCAACCACTGTGAGCAACCACTGTGAGCAACCACTGTGAGCAACCAGTGTGAGCAACCACTGTGAGCAACCACTGTGAGCAACCACTGTGAGCAACCAGTGTGAGCAACCACTGTGAGCAACCACTGTGAGCAACCACTGTGAGCAACCACTGTGAGCAACCACTGTGAGCAACCACTGTGAGCAACCACTGTGAGCAACCACTGTGAGCAACCACTGTGAGCAACCACTGTGAGCAACCACTGTGAGCAACCACTGTGAGCAACCACTGTGAGCAACCACTGTGAGCAACCACTGTGAGCAACCACTGTGAGCAACCACTGTGAGCAACCACTGTGAGCAACCACTGTGAGCAGCCACTGTGAGCAACCACTGTGAGCAACCACTGTGAGCAACCACTGTGAGCAACCAGTGTGAGCAACCACTGTGAGCAACCACTGTGAGCAACCACTGTGAGCAACCACTGTGAGCAACCACTGTGAGCAACCACTGTGAGCAACCACTGTGAGCAACCACTGTGAGCAACCACTGTGAGCAACCAGTGTGAGCAACCACTGTGAGCAACCAGTGTGAGCAACCACTGTGAGCAACCACTGTGAGCAACCACTGTGAGCAACCACTGTGAGCAACCAGTGTGAGCAACCACTGTGAGCAACCACTGTGAGCAACCAGTGTGAGCAACCACTGTGAGCAACCAGTGTGAGCAACCACTGTGAGCAACCACTGTGAGCAACCACTGTGAGCAACCACTGTGAGCAACCAGTGTGAGCAACCACTGTGAGCAACCAGTGTGAGCAACCACTGTGAGCAACCAGTGTGAGCAACCACTGTGAGCAACCAGTGTGAGCAACCACTGTGAGCAACCAGTGTGAGCAACCAGTGTGAGCAACCAGTGTGAGCAACCAGTGTGAGCAACCAGTGTGAGCAACCACTGTGAGCAACCAGTGTGAGCAACCACTGTGAGCAACCAGTGTGAGCAACCACTGTGAGCAACCAGTGTGAGCAACCACTGTGAGCAACCAGTGTGAGCAACCACTGTGAGCAACCAGTGTGAGCAACCACTGTGAGCAACCACTGTGAGCAACCAGTGTGAGCAACCAGTGTGAGCAACCAGTGTGAGCAACCAGTGTGAGCAACCAGTGTGAGCAACCAGTGTGAGCAACCACTGTGAGCAACCAGTGTGAGCAACCACTGTGAGCAACCAGTGTGAGCAACCACTGTGAGCAACCAGTGTGAGCAACCAGTGTGAGCAACCACTGTGAGCAACCAGTGTGAGCAACCACTGTGAGCAACCAGTGTGAGCAACCAGTGTGAGCAACCAGTGTGAGCAACCAGTGTGAGCAACCAGTGTGAGCAACCAGTGTGAGCAACCAGTGTGAGCAACCAGTGTGAGCAACCAGTGTGAGCAACCACTGTGAGCAACCAGTGTGAGCAACCACTGTGAGCAACCAGTGTGAGCAACCAGTGTGAGCAACCAGTGTGAGCAACCAGTGTGAGCAACCACTGTGAGCAACCAGTGTGAGCAACCAGTGTGAGCAACCAGTGTGAGCAACCAGTGTGAGCAACCAGTGTGAGCAACCAGTGTGAGCAACCAGTGTGAGCAACCAGTGTGAGCAACCAGTGTGAGCAACCAGTGTGAGCAACCACTGTGAGCAACCAGTGTGAGCAACCACTGTGAGCAACCAGTGTGAGCAACCACTGTGAGCAACCAGTGTGAGCAACCAGTGTGAGCAACCACTGTGAGCAACCAGTGTGAGCAACCACTGTGAGCAACCAGTGTGAGCAACCAGTGTGAGCAACCAGTGTGAGCAACCAGTGTGAGCAACCACTGTGAGCAACCAGTGTGAGCAACCAGTGTGAGCAACCAGTGTGAGCAACCAGTGTGAGCAACCAGTGTGAGCAACCAGTGTGAGCAACCAGTGTGAGCAACCAGTGTGAGCAACCACAGTGAGCAACCAGTGTGAGCAACCAGTGTGAGCAACCAGTGTGAGCAACCACTGTGAGCAACCAGTGTGAGCAACCACTGTGAGCAACCAGTGTGAGCAACCAGTGTGAGCAACCAGTGTGAGCAACCAGTGTGAGCAACCAGTGTGAGCAACCAGTGTGAGCAACCAGTGTGAGCAACCAGTGTGAGCAACCAGTGTGAGCAACCACTGTGAGCAACCAGTGTGAGCAACCACTGTGAGCAACCAGTGTGAGCAACCAGTGTGAGCAACCAGTGTGAGCAACCAGTGTGAGCAACCAGTGTGAGCAACCAGTGTGAGCAACCAGTGTGAGCAACCAGTGTGAGCAACCACTGTGAGCAAATTTCAGAGTAGTCATAGTAGTGTAGGCTGAGCCTCAAACTTGTATCGGGGGTCCACTCTGAAACCGGTTATACAGGGGTTTCCGCCGACTGAATGAAAGGTTATCGGAACGAAACTTCCTCGAAACTTTTTTTCGATACACCCACGTGTGTACGGGCCAGCACTAACGATTTCCTCCGGATAAAACTGCTCGAGTAGGGGCACAAGGATACACTACTTTGTCGACGCTATCTCGAGTGTCGAATTCATTGGGGGCTTATAATAACCCTTAAATTGTGAAACTAGATAGCCAATTGCACATGGCCAAAACGATTTTAGCGAATCGCACATGGCGAAAAGCGAATTGGTGCAACCGAAAGCCGTGTCACGTATGGGATGTGGAATTAGGGAGATAGGGAAAAAGGGACACATGGGGAAACAAGGAACATGGGAAAAACGCGCGACATGAGGAAATAGTAAGGCATGAAGAAACGAAGAGGCCTAAGAAAACACAGACACATGTGAAAACAGGGGGGCATGGTGAATTGGGGAGTCATGGAGGCATGTTGAAATGAGATATGGGGAAAAGGGGAGTCATGTGGAAACAGGGTGGCATCAGGAAACAGAGAGAGATGGTGAGGAAAATGGGGAAAATTAGAGATATAGGAAGACAGGAAGACATGAAACATAGGGCAATGGGGGCAAGGCGAGGACATGGGGAAACAGAAAGACATGGGGAAACAGAAAGACATGGGGAAACAGAAAGACATGGGGAAACAGAAAGACATGGGGAAACATAGGGACATGGGAGCCTACGGGACATGGGGTAAAAGGAAGGGATGGGTAAACAAAGAGACAGAAAGACATGGAGAAACAGACATACATGGGGAAAGAAGGATAGGGAAATGGGGGAAAGGCGAGACATAGGGAAAAATGGAAACCTGGGGAAGGGAAACAGGGAGGCATGAGAAAACAGTGAGACATGAGAAACAACAAGGCATGGGGGAAATGGAGACATTGTGAAATAAGGGGAATGGGAAAACAGGGAGACATCGGGAATCAGTGAGAGATGATGAAACAGGGAGAGGGGGAAACAGGAAGGCATAGGAAAACAGGGAGAGATGGTGAATCAGGGCACATGGGAAAATAGAAAGATAAGAGAGCATAGGAAGTCACAGGGAGATGGCAGTGCAATGCAGCATTGTTGTATGATTCCTGCTTCGGCCTGTCATTGTGAATCAAACGCCCATACCCAATCACCAATTGCAAGTGAACATGGAATACAAGGCATAACAGTGTATAGGTAACTATATCAAACGCAGGGTCTACAGAACATAGTTGTCATATTTCCTAGTTTCTAACTCTCCCTACAAGGCTCAAGCCTGGAGCCATCCGTCAGGAGCGCTCAAGCCTGGAGCCATCCGTCAGGAGCGCTCAAGCCTGGAGCCATCCGTCAGGAGCGCTCAAGCCTAGAGCCATCCGTCAGGAGCGCTCAAGCCTAGTAGCATTGGTGCATTGAAGGCACAGCAGCACAGCAGCTTTCCCTCACCCCCTCCAGCCATCAACCACCCACCACACTCCCACAAACACCCTGCCGTGAAGCAGGGCGCAAAAAAGGGTAGTGCCACCGTGTTCCCCATCCACACCACACCCATCCCCCAGTCGGTGCTCTCGGCGTGTTGCTGTGCTGTGCCTTTCACATGCCTTTTATGCCATCCCTCCATCTCATACCCCAAGCTCTCCTCTTTTATTTTTCAAGAATTTCAGTGATTTTTTTTTTTTTTTTTTTTCATGCGTGCAGCAGTCAAGGGCGCCATGGC